CAGCAATTAAGAAGTAGTGTCATGCTTCTCAAAACCTCCCAATGTGAGGCTTTGCTGCCAGATGTAGTTTATCGTCATACCCAGGACAAATATAGTAATATAACAGGGTGACTCTTGTGGTATCTACCCCCCCCCAATGCGTCTTGAGGCAGCTAATGATTCAAATAATGTAAGCTTTTATTTTGGGATGTGAGGTTGAAAGAAAACCTCTTTGTGCTAGATTGCTCAAGAATGTTCATTCACCCTTTCACAGGTTATTCATTTGTTTACATTTGGATACACTTTGAGCCGATATGAATGTACGTGAGAGATTCATGGAAGATTGTAGTTTAAAAGCAGTAAAATCAATCTTTCTAATTGAACGATCCTCTGTGGCTGAATCAGTTAAGGCACGTCAGGCTATATTCGATTCCTGTTGGAGGACGAATATTTTCTATGAAAATTTCTCGGACATTCAGGCCAGTTAATGTTATTAATACTGTTTATTATAAACAGAGCATTTACTTAAATATTTGTATCTATAAAAAGAATGTGTATGTATATATATATATATATATATATATATATATATATAAAGGGTGCAGGTTGCATTTTCAACTGCATTTCTCGGTTTTTCTGTCCCTTTCTTCTCATATCTATATAAGAAAAAAAAATGTTTATTTTCTTTAAGATTTAGACCTTCCTTGTTTATGCTTTTGTTAAACCACTTTTATGACTGGACAGATTTGGCTTAGATGGATTTCTCTCATCCAATTTTTTTCTTCCTTCTGTGAAAGTTACCAAATGGTGCCACATATATTTTTGGCTGTGCTACAAAATAAAAAAAATGTTTTTTTTTTTTTTTATCAATTCTGTATTTTTTTTTTTTTTTTTGGTGTGGGGGGGGACTTCAAAGATGTTTGCATTCTTTGAAGGCTGCAAGATAAGATTTCGATCATTGTCAATTCTTTGATTTCTTGATCAAGTTTTCAACAGTAAATCCTGTTCATTCCTGCTTTTTTTGATTGACTGAATTGACTTGGTTTTGGTCAAGAAATAGTTTTGTTTACTCAATTAATCCTTTGTTAGTGACCCCCTTAGCTATCAATGGGCCAAAATATAACACCTCTCTTCTATATTTAGCAAAAAAAAAAAAAAAAAAAAAATTCCTTACAAAATGGCTTTTTTTTTTCTTCTTAATTTAACCCCAGAAGAAGAAATTAAAAATAATTTGGCAATAAACTTTGTGTAATTGGAAAATTTAATTAGAAACAAAGAGCTGACCTGCTATGTAATATCAGTCCTCCAATATGGCAGTGAGTTCTGGATAATTTCTCCCTGGATGAAGAGGAGTAACAAAGATGTGGTTCTACAGAAGGATGCTGAGAATGACAGATGGAAAATATGAAGAGGCTTTATAGAAACAAAAAGGACACTTATATTTAGAATCAGAAATAGTTGCAATTTCTGTAACAAATAATGAGGAAATAGGGCTTAGAAAATGTGACACTCACAAGACATTGAAAGCAAGAGGGACAGAGAAGCATCGAGTAACCTCGCTAATAAGCTTGTAAACATATGGCACAATAGGAAGTTGGAAGGATAGTAAAAAGACCAAAGATAGGAAATTATGGAGGGTTATGATTGTCCACGTCCTGGACGGACATGTCAAATAAAAGAAGTTAATATACTAAACACTTTATTTTTAATTTATATTTTTATTTTCTCTAAATATTTTCATGGCAGTTGTTCTGATGAACTTTCCTCTTTGGTACCTTGACTTCTTAAATTTAAATGCATTACTAGATTGGCAGTTAGGTCTCTTCATTTTACTGCTGAAATTGCTAAATGTAACTGTAGGTTCTATTTGAATAGATTCTTCTTTCACACTTATTGACTGTAGATCTCTCTTCCAGCTTCTTGTTTTCCTGTCGACTATGATCTTCAAAATTTAAAAGTACTGTCAATCATCATCATCTGTCTCCTTGAATCCTGGTCTTTTATTGTCCTGTTCCTTTCACTCTCAGTAATCCCTTGCATCTTAGTGGCTTTCTGAACATGCTTCAAACACAAAAGAAAAGAAAAATGTATTGATAACTTATTTTTAACCTCCCAAAAAAAGTATGGAGGTTCATAAGGAGGAAACTGAAAACTTCACTGATGTTTTTAGACATGATCTCCTCTTGGAGAATAGAAAATTAATTGTAATAAATATGTATTACATGTTTTAGTTAAGTCATGTAGAGTTTGCTGAAAAGTTTTCAGCTAAACAAAGAATTTTTCAATTCAAGTGGCTATTTGGCAATTCCTTGGCTGGAAATGAACATTCCATTTTTTGGTACAAGGTTAATCAGTAGTAAACTGAAGAAAATTACTGTTTCTATTTAATGCAAGAATATAATTTTTATGTAAATTTTTTCTCCCCCCACCTTTTTTTTTAATATAAATTTTATGAAAATTACATTTTTCTGTTATTGAATATGTTTTGTTAATGTATGGTCATCGTTAAAATTTTTCTGGATATGAAAAGGTTTCCTGTTATCTGACATTCTAGATGCTAAATCTACCTACATGTTTGTCTTGTCAGATGACCATTAATATTCTCAAAAACAAAACAAAAACTTAATAGAAAAAAAAATAAAACACACACAATGCAAATTGCTACCTGATGTTTTGAACCACACCTTGTCTGCTCAAGTACAAATGCCAAATAAACAAAGTTCTTTTCAGGTGAAAAATACTGTCTTGTAAATGTTCAGTACAAAAATAAGCTTGTGACCACTTGTTGGGTGACCCTAACCCCCAACCATCCATCATTGGCTAGACCTGCTGATATTGGTATCCTGGTCGGATTTCAAGTCAAGCTGATAAGTAATGGAATTTACTTGAGTCAAAATCTTATATGTCACAAAGCTTACAGTGGATGTATCCCCAGTGGGGATTGAACACACTGTTTCTAGCATTGGATGGAGAGGTAGCAGCTGTCTTTCTCTAAGACTGGGTGTGTAGAATAGTTGGGAGAGGAAGGTTGAGGGGTTGGGTAAGAAGAGAGAGAAAGCAATTGGGCAAAGAGAAAAGAAAGAATGGATTATAAGAGAAAATTTTATTAATGCATATATATATATATATATATATGACGGACAAGGAAAATTTAATGAAAATTAAAAAAACAAGAACAAAATCTATTCCATACCTGAGGATGTCTGTAAGAACAGATGAAAGCTTGTAAAAAATAATAAGAACTCATGCAACAGAAATTTATAGAAACAAGGATCTTGTCATTCATAAACAGGTCGGGGTTTTTGTATATTATTTGAATTGTTTGTGACAATGGATTTCTTGCCAATTAAATCATTAACCTTTGTATTTGTTTTTTGTATGAATAATTCATGAATTTGTAAATTAATTGCACCTTTATTGAAATATATATATATTATATATATATATATATGTACTTGTAACACACTGGGATAAAACTTGACATAACTGCCACTCTAAAAAAAAAAAAAAAAAATGTAATTCTTTACATAGGAAATACTTCAAGGGGATTCTGATAAGCCTCTTATCAAGTAATATGTACAGTACATATACACTGTAATTGTTAAGAAATACACATTTTTTTTCAATACTTTTGAAAATTTTATTTATTTTTTATGAAAATTAAATGATAGCATTGTGATTGTGGGTCAGTTGTCTTTGTCTCATTGCAACCAATATTCTTAGACCCAGTCCACCACTGACTATTTAAAAAGGAATCACCATTTATAAGGATCAAAATTTGGGATGAAAGAAGTAATGGATTTTTTGAATTTATTAATCTAGCAGATTTTTATCACTTTAAATATTATTTTAAGTGGATTCACATATTTGAGTAGACACCCCGTTTATTTATTAGACAGTATATTTATTTATTTTTCTCTACCAGCCTGAATATTCAAGAAAAATATGTGCTCTCCAGTAGGATTTGAACCTGCATTCCCCTGGCTAGTGGGAACTGTCATATTGAGTTTAGAAGATAGGAAAATTGAGAATAAGCTGCACTAGAGGTACCTTTGCCCAATACTGCAACTTGTTGCAAAATCAAAAACTTATGTCATTTTTAAATAGTCATGTCAGATAGACTTTCATATGGATGTCTTGCATGGAGTCAAATCAGTTCAGAAATAGCTAAACTGTCAGCTGTATACAACTGCTTTTTAAGAGTGATATTTTTAAAATGGGTTTAATTTGTTGTAAGACTTAGTGAAGACCACACTTCTTTGAACTTTGGGATTCTGTAGCATCAGTTTCCAAAGAACTGTACCAAATAAGAGAAACCACATCATTTGAAGACTTTCAGCAACACCTAAAATGGATATTGATAAAACAGGACCTTGCCCAATAAACTGAGTGACCGCACTTCACCAGACAATAGAAAAATATTCACTGAGGAGAAATTTTAGTAAACTTAAATAATTCTTAACGGTTAAATTCACTTTGGTAGGAAGGGAGACATGCATGCTACTTCCACTGCTTAGAACACATTCATTAAGCTGAGGAGTTTGTTAGCCTAGGATGGCGAGTTCAATCCTTGCTAGGACCACAGGAGTTAACAGATATCACATGTAACTTGAAGAGAAAATAATGATATAATCAAGAAGCTGACGTTACATGCGACTTCAAATAAAAGGTTAAGAAGGAACCCCCCCTCCAATACTGGAGAGAGTGATAACAGCTACTGGGCTTGAGAAGAGAAAATAATGACATAATCAAGATGTTGATATTCCACACTACTTTAAACAAAAGGTTAGGAAGGAAACCTCCATTAATACTGGAAAGAGTGATAACAGCTACTGGGCTTGAGAAATCTATTTTCTTGTAAAATTGTTTTAAGAAAAAGATTTTATAAGTTTCTGTAGTACTGGCTGCTCGGTTAATGAATGCCAGATGTTTTCTTATAGGGAAACGGCTAATATTACCTTTACCATGCACTTTGTTTTAAAACTTATCAGCATTTTGCTTTTCTTTTTTTCTTTTTTCAGAATGATCTGCTTGAATGGTTAAAACTGCTAAATATGGAGCAGTATTACGACACGTTGTTGAGTCAAGGTTATAGTACGATTGATCAGTTGACGGAAATCACTTGGGAGGATCTCGAGGAGATTGGCATCAAGAAATTGGGTATGTTGCATTGCTTTTGAAACTTCATTTTCTAGATACGCAAATCCTTCCAACTAAAGATTGACACTATACAATCTTCATGTTGATTTAAGTTTTTAAATATCCAAATTATTTGGAGTTTGTCTCCTAGCTGAATTACTTCTGTATTTTTCAGTTTTTTTGGGTTTTTTTTAGCCCAAAGAAAAAAGTAAGCAGGCAGTTTCCTCATACTTTAAAAGATTGGCACTATACAATCTTCCTATCTATGTTTAGCATTGTTCCATACTAAATTTAGTAATTATTAATGCATTTTCATAATCCAATGAGTTTATGGCCATATCATGTTGAAACACTGCTTAATTTCAATAATCATATGAGAACCAATGTCAAGCCTGGTCAGTACCTAGATGGTTGACTGCTTGAGAATACCAGGTGTTGTAGGCTTGGATGTGCAGGTAACCATCCAAGCCTACAAGGCTCAGAATTCTGAGTTTCAGTTCCCATGGAGTTTGTTATATTCACTTCATCTCTTATCCCCCAGCTAATCAGTAGAATTTGTATGAATAAAAATTATTATCTCTAAATAATTCTTACAATCGAAAAATATTTTCTGGCTTTAAATAACCTCACAAATATAGATGTTCTGTCATGTTGGCAACAACTTGACAAATGTTACTTTTGAATATTTCGGTTTACAATGTTCTTGCAATTAAAAAGTGTTGCAACCCTAAGATGACCTCAGACTAGTAATAAAATTATAGTAGTGAGCATGCAAAACAGACAAAAAGTGTAACTATTGAATTTGACTTTTTTTAAAAATTAAACTCAATGTGTGTCTAATTGGGTGCTTCTTTCAGCATTTCTTATTACCTTCTTCCCAATATACATCAGAGAAACTCAAACATTATCACTGAGATGCCCAAATTAGGCATGGCCACAAGCATTGACACTATATTGAAAATAAAATCTCAATGGTCAAGGCAAGCCATATAGCAGGAAGGAAAGATTTTACTGTTCAGATAACTAATTGCTGACTTTCATAAGTCAGCAATTAAAAAGATAAAAAAAAAATTCCTTACAAATGAACTTTGTCTCTTGTGGGACCAACTACCCACAAGTTGACATGAGTGACAATGGAACACATGATCCATCAGGCATCTCCTATTTCCAGAGCTAAAGCAGAAGTGACAGCAATGCAATCCTAGCTGCCAGGCCTTTTTCCTGCAGTCAATACAAGGCAGCCTGCCTTTTTCCATTTAGGCCTTGCTGACTACCCAAAGGCTTACAAAAGATTTGAAAAACCTTTCTAGATGCTTATTTGTGAAGGCATGATTTTTTTTTATAAAATGTATGTGTGTGTGTGGGGGGGGGGTCACATTAGTACTTGAATTGCACTAAAACTGAACTCTGCCACCAAGAGCCAATTCATAGCCATAAATTGGAGTGTGTCTTTCTTTCAAATACTGAATTAATAAATCGGCTAATTGTTTGTGAACTCTGAAATCCTCATTCTTTCATCTTCCAAAAACAAAAAAACTGAAAATATTTGTTTATTTGAATTTTTAGGCCACCAAAAGAAGACGATCCTCGCCATAGACCGCTTGAAACGTATTATGGCTGGTTCTAAACGCTTGTCCTCTTTAGAGCAGAGGTCTCCCTACATTGAGCCTTTGGACCCACCAGCGATGAACGTCTCAGGCAATTGGTCTCTGGACACAGTCAGCACCTCGTCCAGTGAAAGTACCTTGACTCGGCCAAAGAAGTCCGCCTCTGGTGATAGCCTCTCACAGCATTTAGCTTCTGATCACAAAGACGGCAGCAGCGGTGACCACACCCCAACCTCTTCTAGTCCGGGGCCGCATCAACCCGATCTGGTAGCTATACAAGTTAAGCGGTCAGTATCCCATTCTGGCTCAGGTGAAATTCCATCTATTGCCGAAAGCACGGATATGACCGGTCAGCCTATAACATACCAGTCGTTTCATATCCCAAACAGCAACAAGCGATCCTCGGACTTGACAGAGGAAAGGTTTCCAGGGACTAACGGCCAGTTGATAATCGAAGATACAACCAATGAAAATGTAACCCGGCCTTCAGCTGCAGTTTCGCCAAGGGTGATGATTAAGCCAAAACCCGTGGCTAAAATTTCTGCCAAAAGTAATCGGGCCCGTGAATTCTCTCCTGAATCATCATCTGACAAATACGACCGTGAGGTTAACCCTGACAACATGAAAAGTTTTGGCGCACTAAAGCAAGGCCAGTCTTTCTCTCCTGAGCACATTTATGACCAACCGGTCATAAATGCACCCAAATCACCAAAGCCCTTAGTCCTCCCTAAACCAATTGGCCTTACAAGTGGTAGCAGCTGCCAGGCCCAAACTGCAGCATTCACAAACACAAACACAAGTGGAGCTGGCATTGCTGCAAACACAGACCCCAGCATTTATGCTTCAGCAGAACAGGGCTTTGCTCCACCTACTGCAACAAAGCCGAAAAAAGTGCCACCCCCGCCGCCGCCTAAACGAAGCAACTCTATGAGAAATGAGGAAAGAAAATACCAGCTTCCGAATCGCAAGAGCGAGCCAGCCACCCCAAGCTTCAACACCCTGTCCAAGTCCCTGCCAAACTCGTCGACACACCACGAAGAATTTGCGAACTGTGTGAAATCACTGTCGGAGCGTTTTGGCAAGAACATGGATGACAATGATGCCCATGATTCATCATCCAACGAAAGTGATGATTTCCCTCCCCCACCACCTCCGTTGGCCATGGACATCATTACACCCCGCCTCCACAACTACGGTATCCCCAGCAAAGGTGGCCGGTCTGGTGTAGATTTGGGAGTCAACAATCCCCCGTCCCGAGTCAAGAAGGATTCTTGCCCTATGCTAAAAGAAAAACCTACATTTCTCATGCAGAAACTCTCAATCAGTGAGAAGGTGCTAGAGGAGGGTCCCTCTCTGACCTCTTCATCATCCTCCGGTGATCGCAGCCTTTCTGAGTCCGAAATGTTCGTTTCCAAGAGGAAGGATTCGACACTGAGCATGGAATCCAATAGCTCCAACTCGAGTGTCGATTCTAACACTCTGCCTTTTGCAAACGAAAATATCGGCACAATAAAGCAAAAAAGCGCACCAGCAACCTTACTGAAGCCAAGCGTAGTGCACTTTTCAGAAGAGCTAACTGCATCCTGCACAGACGATGGCGCCAGCAAATTTAGCACAACAGAGAATTCCACAGATCTCCGGACAAGTACACTTGGCCGTAAATTTCAGCAGAGAACTTTTCCCGCTTCCCAGACAACAAACTTTTCGGAAGATAATGAGGATGAACGTAAGTAAACTTGGGTCTTCTTTCTTTTTGTTGAAGAACTACCTGTCAGTCTGTCTTCTCTTGCTCTTCATAACACCTCGACATCTTCTAATAATCAATATTTTGTCATGTATAGTTCTTGCTAGATCTACAATCGAATCTTTAATTAGGAACATCAGCAATTTTGTGGATTGTCACCATTGATAGAATAGTCATTCCTCAAAGTTTCTCTTGAAACTAAGAATTCTTTTTCTTTAAGAGAGAGAGAGAGAGAGTGTGTGTGTGTGTGTGTGTGTGTGTGTGTGTGTATATATTCCAGATACCATATATATTTATGTATTAGTCTACTTCATTTCTAGTGAGAACTGAATTTTTCTGTGGAAAACCTGATTTTTTCATATAGCTTGTGCATAACGCAACCACAGCTACTGAGCAATACCAGCAAGTCTACCATAGTCAAATATTGAAGTACTGAACGTCATCTCTAGCAAATAAATGGTTACGGTACCAAGAGAATTTAGGTCTACCATGTATGGTCACCGAAAATGCAAGATTTTTAACATCTTCAAAAAAAAGAAAATTGCCTATTTATATAGTGTGAACCCCCCACCTCCCTTGCTATTAAAACTCACACTGTACTATGATACTTTCTCATCTAGATATGTGACAGTTTAATTGGCATATGGTAAGTGGGTAAAAATTAGCATTTTTATATATATATATATATATATATATATATGATTATTTATTTAAACATATGATTCCAACACAGCGTGTTGGAATCATATTTTAAAATAAATAATTATATTTATGCTCTACTTTTGTATCAAGCACTATTTTTAAAAAAATAATAACAAAAATACTAAAGAACTTTGGATTACCTAATGAGTTCTTTCCTATATATTTTTCCCATATATATATATATATATATATATATATATATATATATATATACGTTTCATTAAATAATATAGACAAGTGTTGTCTATTTATTTTATACTGAAAAAATTTACATAAAATAAATAGACAACACTTGTCTATATTATTTAATGAAACATGTATGAATGAAAAGATGCTGCCTAAAATACACACAATATATATATATATATATATATATATATATATATATATATATATATATATATATATATAAAGGTTTCATTAAGACAGATCAAAATCAGCAGTAAGTAAATGTCTGCCAAATCTGAAAGAAAAATAAAAAAAAAAATCATTAGACGCTTAAACTTAATTCACATTTAAAATTGGTCCAAGTTATTGGAACACCCTTTTATATATCTATATATTATATCTACCCCTGCCTTCTGTATTCGAGCTTGATCCTCTCGCCTGATTGTAGAGTTGATCGATTCGACCCAAGCCTTGTCTCACTCCACATTGTGTTAATTGATTGCAAGACTGGCTTGGTCCAAATGGTCAACTGTAATCAATGACTTGGTTTGGTCCAGTCAGAGTAAAGAAAGGAAAAAAAAAAAAAAAATTGTGTGAAAAGAAAAAAAAAAAAGTCTTTATATACAATTTCTTCCCTGGGATACAATGTTGATGGTACAGTTATTGATGGCTTAAGCAGGCCTATGCTCTTGGTGCAATAACTATCAACGCTTCCCAATTATTGTGGCACATTGTTGTTATGATTTAGGAGCAAGTCTTTAAGTCGGAGGCTTTTTTTCTTCAGGGAAGCAAATCACATGAGAACAGGCAAAGTGGTGGTTCTCATCCTATTTGATCTTGTCTCTACAGTCTCTCTCTCTTGTATATCTCCATTGTCTGTTTTGTGCAAGGGCTGAGGTGGGGCATGATGTGCTCTGGGAATGTCCGCTTTCACAAAACAACCAATCAGGGCTCTCCCTGTAAATGTTTAAATATGGCAGAGTCCCTCCTCCCTCCTTTCACCTGATGAAACCCGTCTCCTTCCTGCTTTGTGTGAGTACCTCTCACCATCACTGCCCGAGGTGTGTGGAAGGTCCTCTGCCTTCCCTGAAATTCCACCAAGGAGGAGGGGGCCCAGGTGGTATTTCACCTGATCAAACCCATCCCCAAAGGACCAGGCATGGTCTTCTAGCCCAAATTTTAATTATCATTCAAAATTCTTATCGTGCTTTTTGTGTGTCGTTGTTTTCGCATCTGACATTCATCCGTTTTTTTTTGGGTTCTTTTATCTCCTCGTCACAATCCCTTGATTTTGGGAAGTTTTATCGTATTTCGGCAGATGAAAAATTTGACTGTCATTCTCCACATATTTTGTTCTGAGAACCCATTTGCTTTTAAAAGTTAATCCTTATCGATTGACCAAACTCATGGCCAGAGCTCCATCTTCATCACTCATAAAAATATTATCTATTTCTGGGAGGTCCTTGGACCTCCAGAATAGCCCATCACTTAATCTCAGTTCTAACTGAAACCAGATGGTCTCTTGGTTTTACCTTTCCAATGGAAAAGAAATTTAATTACCTTTTTTTTTTCTTTTTATATATTATTGAAAAAAAAAAAAAAAAATCCTTTTGTTTCATTTTCCCTCATCTGGTCATTGGTATATCTTCAGTCTATCGGTAATTAGTGTTTTTCAATTTACTAGCCTTTTTAATAGTGTCATATATATGTGCGTGTGTACTGCTACAAAAAACACATTACATAAGATTTAAAATGAAAAATCTTTCTTGGTTTTATTTTAGTTTTGATTGCAAGGTGATAGATTAAATTTAATATTTCAATAACTAATTTAAATTGACTGGAAGGAATTTTTTCTTTTTTTTTTTTTGCTAAAATAGATTATTAGCACTGATTTTTGGTTGTCTTTCATCGCAATGTAATTCTCTCCATTCAAAGATTTTCCAAAAATAAAATATACTTTTCTGAAACTTTAGTTGAGGAATATTAAACTGATTTAAAACTATTATTTATTTTATTAAAATATTGCAGAAATGCATTTTTTTTTAACCTGACTAAAGTTGTTTATTTAAGATGTTGATCTGAAGACAGATCTGATGTTGTTTTATGGAGACTTTATCTTTAAAACAACTGAAGAAAATGATATGAACACATTTTTTATATAATTTTTAAGTACTCGGTAATCTTAGAAATTTTAGCCTTAAATTTACTATAATTGTCGCTCTTATTTTCTGATAAGATTGTGTATGGTTGACTGCATTTACAAAAATTGCCACAATTATACTAATACAGAATTTAAAATTTTAAACTATAAATTATTCTAAGTTTAAATAAAAAATAGAAAACAATTCTTGTAAAAATTCATTATTAATCGAAAAAAAATTTTTCTTAAGACAATAGTGCCTTCAATAAAAGTAATTAAAAGCTTTTCTAATTAAATAATATCAGTTTCATTGCATTTTTTTATTTTATGATTCAGAGTAGATTTTCGGTAAATGTTTGTCAAAAACAAATTGATAATTTAAATTCTCCAAGGACTGCTGCTTTTGACTAATATAAATATGAAGAGGGTGGAATTTTAATTTCTCAACATTTCATAAAATTAAGAAGATTTGCTATAAAAAAAAAAGAAAAAAAAAATTTCAAAAATAATTTCATTCATTTTTGGAGGTATATGATGGGCCGCTCATATCCGAATATGCTTGTCAGCTAGCCAGTCCCTGTTGCAGACGCCTGCTCAGGCACATTTGTATTTATTTGTTTAAAATCTGCCACTGGGTGACATTGCCACTAGTGTTTACTACTGTCAGACCACTGGCGTGTTCGTATCGGCAGTGTTACCACTGACGGACTGCTAAAGGCCTGATGGTGGCTGCTATCAGCGGCCCACCAGCAGCCCACATGTAGGATACAGATCCCATTTGTGGTTTATACTGCAACTATGTTGAGAAAACCTGAGCATGTAATTAACTGCCTAAACAAGGCCAGTATATTCAAACCCTCAATATGGTGGACATGTGACTTTGTACTAGCCCAGCTATTGATAACTCCCAAATAGCTCTGTCTACCCAATTTCACTCACAAGACTTGGGTCATGGTATGATTTTTAAGCACTTCCCAAAGGATTGCTTCCCCAGGTCAATAATATCAAAAAGTTACCTTTTGACTATGGTGAGATTAAAACCTGGGTCTTATGGTCAGAAAGTGAATGTGTCCATTTATAAAGATACTTATAAATCAAGAGAAAATGTTGTTTGAAATTAAAAAAAAAAAGAAAACAAAATGTATGAAATTTTATGAATGTATAATAAAACGGGTTTAATAAGTTTCAGAATGTTGTAAATATGAGGCTCCCAGTGATAATAAAACTCATTATACAAGTAAATGATTTGTGAGACCAGTTTGCTAACCATCAAGCTATGACAGGTTTATTTTATTGATAACTCTTCTTCGTTTTTTCTTTCTCCAGCCCCCAAGCGTCCACCCTTGCCTAAAAAATATGAAGCTACAGCCTCTCCATTAGTTCCCCAGAGAAAACCAAAACTTTCTGTTCCAACTCCTACAGTAACAGAACCAGAGAAAGCCCCAAAACCTGCAACAAAAGTGTAAGTGAAAAAAAAAGTTTTTATTTATATATAAGAGAAACTGTTGTTCAGACTGAAAGCATCTATTGACATTTGAGATTTAGTTTGTGGAAGATTGAGAGGAAAAGAAAATTTGGCCTTGTAAAAAATAATGAAGGAAAAGAAAGCAGATAAAGTGTCAATCAAAAATTTTTATGTTTCAGAAATTGTTGCTGTTTTATAAAAATTCCTTTTTTTTTTTTTTAAGTCCAGATTTTTCTTATGAAGACAGTTTTTTGTACAACAGGAAATAGATGAGACAAGAACTTTGCTACTTTCACTCTGACTGCTACTTGAACTACTTACTTGATAAGTTATTTTCACCTGGCACACACATGTAATACTGAACAAGAATGTTTGACAGAAGAATGCTTGACTATTTTAAAGTCTGTTACTAGAAACACAGTATTCATATTTTCTTAATGACTTCAACTTGGACTGTTACACCTGGATGCTACTTGTATTATCCCATGGACTGCTTGAACTCGCACTGACTACTTTACTGTCTTTTTATCTGTAGTTAAAGTATGGACATCATAATAAAACACAAAATGTGCATGAATATTTAACAGAAAAAGGATAGCCTTGATCCTAAACTGTGTTACTTCAAAATTATAAAATTTCTATCCTAAACTGTGTTACCTCAAAATTATAAAATTTCTAATAACTATACATGCTTAAAAGATTAATATGTTGCTATACATTTGAATTGTGTAATTTTTATCTTTCTCTGTAAATTATAAGTTAATTGAATTTCATTTTAAGTTGGCAGTAGAGAAATTGTACCATAAATAATTTTCAATAAAATTATATTTTTTTGTCATAAATTAATTAATAAATAATGTCTTAATAATGTGACCACTATAATTTGAATTTGTCTTTTTTTTTCTTTTTTTTTTTTTTATAGAAATTTCCATAATTTAAGTTTTTCTTTGCACAAACACACTGTCACCTTAATTTTTAAGGATCTCTCTGATTAAGCTATATCCGCTTGGTATTAGTTTAAACTGATGCCACCCACTATCTTACTTATATCTGAGTTTCCATATATGTAAGCGGTGATTATAAATGATGATTTTTGAAAGTGAAAAGTTTCACTGAAAGATGTTGGGAAATTTTCTAGTTTTTCATCTGAAATCAAGAAAATGCAAACATGTCTGCAATAAAAGGTGATGTCAGTTTAAACTGATGCCAAGTGGATATGGGTTCAGTTGTTAGAAATTCAATGTTAAAAGGGGGGAGGCAAACAGTGCAGTTCCAAATTAAATTAAAGTATTGTTAGGTACATATGATTGTATTTGGCATCATTATGGGGGTCACAATTGCTGAATGTTTGTGGTGAGTAGTCATTTCACAACTGAAATTGACCTATGAGATGGCAATTTTCAAAGAGTTTTTTTTTTTTTTTTTTTTTTTTTTTTTAGGTACCCCAAATTTTGCTTATTACTTTTACAAAAAAAAAAAAAATATGTGTATTATACATGGGGAATTACGGTACTCTAAACAAGCAGGAAGGTAGTTACCATAAAAAATAAAAAAATTTCTTTTTTGGAAGCAAGAGAAAATTAAGCTAGCAGTTTCAGTTTACTCTAGCAGTGCACGTACCACAAACATCTGATAGCTTCTGGATTTTCTAGATTATATTTTTATTAGAAACCCATGGCTAAATTCCAAAAATCAAACACTGGTGAAAAAATATTTGTGGACAAGGAAAATTAAAGCTACCAGTATCAACGCCCATGAAACAAAAACACACTGGCGATGTTTAGAGCAATCTTGCAACACTGTTAACCTGTCATTGCATTTTAAACAAAAATAAACTTTATTTTTTTTTTTTTTTTTAATTATTTTTATTCCCTTTTTAACAATTTGATTACTACCTATTCTTTTTTTCAAAATTTATGGTTATTGACTTTAAAAGCTTCAAAGAATTATCGGAGGTACGCAATTATCCAGGGACACAAATGTTCAGTATGCAGTTGTCCTAGAACCGTTATATGCATATATCATTCAATAGAGACTCAGTTCTAAGTAGAAAGTCAGGCAGAGATTTTCCAGATGAATCGAGTAGAATTTGAAAAGAATTTACAAGCAAAACATTTTGCTTTATCAACAGAAGATATTAACACCTCAAACTTAGTGAAATGAGGTGGGATAAAAGGCTTAACCTTATTTAACACATTATTACAGACCCAGAGGAGGCACGGTGGAGTAATGGATAGCGGGTTAGATTGAGGAATCAGAGAGCCGAGTTCAAATTCCAGTCAAATCTGTTACATTCACTTATGTGCTAATACCCTTGGGAAAGGTATGAATCCCCCCCCTTCAGCTATGGGTAAATAGCAGGACAGACTGGGTTCTATAGCCTTGGATGGCAGAGAGAAATGGCAACCTACTGCAGGGGAAAAAAATCTGCCTCGTCAGTCATGTATCAAAAGATACATGATCACCTAAGCATGTATCATGCATGGTACATAACAGAGCCACCAATAGTCACAAGAACCAAACGTGTTAGAATGAGGTACTATATAGCCTCTGTCAGCAAACAAAGACTTAGTCTCTTTGAGGAGATGTTTACAATTATTACAAGCAAATAACCAGTTTTAACCAAAGAAAAACCTCTGTGGCAAAATCCTCAAGAATGTAAAAATATCCATTCAAGGAACATCTCAAAGAAAGTCACAAAATGAATAGCAATCAGTATGATGGTAGCAAAAAATGGAGTCTTCTGAATGGGAAGTTCCTTTCTAATAGATAACTCCAAATAAATATCAATAGATGCTAGAATATGATCAAAATTACCAAGAGGACAGAGTTGTGATGTTCTACACAAACTAGTGTAAGGAACAAATGGAGTTAAGTAGCATGTCACTCAGATTTAGTAGGGAAATCCACTATTTGACTGAGAGAGTGAGCAATGGAAAAAATGAAAATCTGAATACTGACAACATCAGTAAAACATTATAATCACCAAACACAAAAATGTCTACAGATGAATGTTGAGAGAGCCATTTCTATATTGTCAGAAATTATGTCTAATATTACAATCCTGAAAAGGAAGAAAGCGATAAAATACAATATATATATATATATATATATATATATATATATGATTGGTGTATATGGAATAAATTCCAATAACCAACACTTCAAAAATATAACATAAATATGTTATAAAATCATTACAAAAATAGCCATTTTGTTTTAACACTTCTGGTGTCTTATCAAGTGATGGTGAATGTAGAATAAAGGGTTTATTCTACATTCACCATCACTTGATAAGACACCAAAAAGTGTTGAAATAAAATGGCTATTGTTGTAGGGATTTTATAACATATTTATGTTATAATTTTCACACACACACACACACATATATATATATATATATATATATATATGTATGTATGTGTTATTTCTTTATATTAATGGCAAATATTTTAATATCAGTTTGTAATTGTGATGGCTATAGATTGTTTCAGTGCTTAAAATGACTAGGCATATTCAATATATCTATTTTGAATATGATCACACCCTTCCCCCACTATTTTTTTTTTAACTTGTCTAATGGGGGTGGGGGAGAAAAAATATTTTCTGGGTCAACCTGTCAACTGGCCTAACTCCTTTCTTTCCGTCTCTAAATCTCTTTCTTCCCCACTTTTTCCCCACCTTTTAAGGATTCTGTAATCATTATTATATTGCTCTGTTCTTACATTGAGCCCTCTTTGAATTTAAGATTTATATCCTCCTTGGAATTATCCCTACTAATCATCAAGTTATATATATATATATATATATATATATACATAAATTTAAAAAATTAACTGGTTCTAAATTCTAAATGTTGACATTTCTAACACAAGTCAGCATGTTATTAATTTGAAAGTGTGTTTTGAAATAAAGATTTTGTCAGCTTATCAAAGATCTGATTTCAAAAGGAAACTCTTTAGTTAGTCAATAAGTCACTTCAATGTTTAATTTATTCAATCTATTATATAACACACGCACAAAATCAATAAGCATCCAAAATAACAAGGAATTTAGTTATAGATTTTTTTCTTAATCTGTACATATTAAAAAAAGGTTTTTCCCCATTAAAATAGGCTACACTCTTGCTAACTGAAGTTTACATTATTCTATCATTTTTGTACAAAAGCTCTGCTATAATAATTTAAAATTTTCTTTTTTTCTAGGCCAGAGGAACCCACTGCAGAAACAGGAAATGTCTTGCATGATATCGATAATATGTTGCAAAACTTGACAGAGGAACTTGACGCTATGCTTGAAGACCAGATGATGTCTTTAAGTTGA